GCGCTGCCAACATGGGCCGAGCCCGAAAAGGATGCGTCGTTGGATCCCAAGGGCTCCTTGTATGGAGTCATTACCCAGACGCGACCCTGGGCCCTCATATGGAGGGGTCTGGGGTCTCAAATCCCTAGGTTTTGAGGGACCAAGGGTTGTTTGGAGCGTCTGGGTACATGCCGACTACCGATGTTCAATGTCAGTAGTGGATGGCCTGGGTAGGGTCATGTGTCATGTAGAAAATCGGTACGAGCGTACGAGGTGGAGTGGTGGTCCGGGAGATGCGGCCGGAGAGCGAAGAAGTGGTGATTTTTCTTGGAGTGAGGGAGCGCAACATGACCCCTCCTGAGAAGAAACGCACACCTCTGGTCAGTAGAGGAAGGGATTCCGTCATGGGTCATGGGTCATCATGCTACTGTGAGCTCAAGTAGTAGGCTATTGTAGTCAAAGCACCTGGGAAAATACACTCTAGGTCACTCATAGCACGGCTGCATTCAGTTGGCAACAACTCTATGCATGTGAATCATGGGGTCCAATTCTCTACCTTTCCTAGCTGGACCTCGAGTGCCAATGTGTCGGGAGTGGTGTACAATTCCAACTCGAAGGCTTCATTTTCAGCCAACTATATGAAGCAAACAGCCCCTGCATCAGGGCTTCCAAACAAATGAATCTTGGCTCGTGGAGAGGCCCGGAGGTTTTCCACCTGCTGGGTGATTGCTTTCCGGTTCTGAGTGCGGTCCTTTTAGGCCGGTAGTTACAACCCTTGGAAACTGCTGGCAGGTTCAATCCTCATTTCATGGATTTCCAATTCCTAGAGAACTCAAACCCCCCGAACAACATCTCTATACCCTCAAAATACACCAGGTTGCTCAAGGGAATGCAAACCTTTCCGGAAAATAGAGGTTATATTATATATATATATATAACTTACTTCTTCCACGAGATATCAATCCTCCAAAAAGCTTGGAAGTGCTCCACTTTTCTCGGGTAGGGCGGTCATTAGGGCTTCATCCAGTTTCATCGCCAGGTCCGCGGTCCACCCGGCCGATTCCACCAGGCTCAGCCCCGTAGCGGGATGACTTTGGACCCTTGATCGTCCACATCCACTGCGAAGTCCTCCTCCTTCTCCTGCCTCGGACGTCCCGTCGACGCGGCAGGACGGACGACCCGACCGCGAAGCGCGACACTAAGAAAGGGTGACCAGTGATTGAGGTAAGTATAGAAACACCATGAAATAGTACATAAGCAATCCATGTATGGAAATACTATGAAATACTTGCCTACATTACATTCACCCCTAAACCCACCTCAGTTCAAATATGTTCAGATTAATTACAACACAGCACAACACAACTAAGTGCCAAAGTCCAAACCCATTCAACATTACTCCGGACTGCCCAGCCAAGACACGCGCAGCAGCAAAACATTGAGACGCGAGTGGTGACCCACATCGACGGCGCATCTTTCGAGCCGCCGCTTGAGCCAAGTAATTTTTCATCACGGAACCCTCTACCACTGCATCCCTCAGGGTGGTCTGTTTGAAACATCACAGTATTACGTGTTTTATACTCAGCTTCTACTTCCTATGCAGTACATGCATGTCTTATTGATCAAAGAATGCCACAAGGTAGGTGTTTTATACTCAGCTTCTACTTCCTATGCAGTACATGCATTTATTGATCAAAGAATGCCACAAGGTAGGTGTAACTTCCATGCATAAAATAGTTATATGGGACAGAGTGTTGCAAGCAATCCCACTGTCTTGCAGTACCTTTTGTCACTGTCCATGGCTGCTTACACCCCACCGAACGGGCTATGCAAAGAAAACCAACGAAGAGGTCGTGCGTCACTGCGCGTCGTGGCGGAAGGCGTGCATCATGTCAAATAACTTCTTGCTATAGGAATCAACTTACCTAACTATATGTTTAACAAAATGCTAGATCATTGGCATCCTTTGTTGTTGAGTACCATGGTTGATCAGTTTTGATGATGTGTTCAAGCCATTGGTCAAACATAACTAAGTGGTGGTTGAGGATGTTAGAAGCCTGGATAGGGATGGTTTTCCAAGGGTCCAATGGTCCGATCGCGCAACCGTTCGACGTGCCATTGCGTGCTTTCACGCCTGCTGAGGAAGGTGAAGGGTCCCCCTCCGAGCAAAGGCTTGAGCTTGAGCTCTTGATCATCGATTGCCTCAGACGCCCGTTGTTCGGCGGCCCACTGGTGGACGACAGGCGTCTTCCATTCTGACTGAACAAACCCATCAAGTGACAGAATATGGAAGGATGGGTTTAACCCATTGGTAGTTAACCAACAAACCCATCAGTCTTTTGTTCAGTCATATTCAACTGACGCAAGAATATGGAAGGATGTTCCACCAACTCAGGCACAAAGTAGCTGAAGCTTCGCCCGTTTCTCTTCGTTTCTCTCTGTGCCACTTCCCCTCTGTGTGTTCACAAGTCTGGCGGGCCAAGTTGTAAAACCTTCAAACTTCTCAAGCAAAGTGCAACAGGCATGCTTCCAAAGAGGTTTGTAAATCGGATCGCTGCAGGAAAACCAACACCTGCGAGCTGTCCCACCTTATCATGGGCACTGACTTTTCCTGATGCCAACGTCACTATGTTGTTTCTTTTTGCTTGACGAATGTTCATTGCTATTGCAATTTGGTCACCTGGTCACCATCCTTCCAATGCTTTTGTTACTGCAGTCATCGTGGCTTGTCATTGTGTTTGTTATCTTGGCTACGATGCTGCCATATTGCCTCCATTGTGGTTGCCAGTGTGGCCTCCCATATCTTGCCATTAATGTTGTCACAATGGTACAGTTCGCCTTTTAAGTTACATACCTATATATATATGAATAAATACCTGTAGTTGTTTACTTATTGATAGTCTGTTTTATGTTATTGTTTGTCTTGTCATTGTGACTTGTGTCGTTGAATCTTGTCACTACACAACAAAATACGGCAATCATTGCAATCCTCGTTGGTGCATCATTGCTTCCATCCGTCTTTTTGTTTGGCACGGATGTTGTGGCTGTGACTCGTAATTCCCAAAACCATCGATGTACGGAGTAGTTGCATCCCTTCACCCCCTATACGACCCTCTCTAAATATATAACAATTCCATAGTACACATGGATGGTCTGAGAGTGCTTTTCCCGCACTCCGGGCACTCCGATCCACCCAGCTACAAATGGAACACAGGTCGCTTCAGTTGCGGACGGTTTCTTGGTTCTGGAATGTTCTGGGGAAACTATGGAGTCTATCTGCGTGGTGCTTGGCAAGAAGAACTTCTCGTTGGAGTCACCAACAGGAGAACCTACACATACCTACACTGCTGGAAAAGGACACCCCCGCTCGTTACGCCCTACGAATCCCTTTTGTACTGAGGAACCGGTCTTAATGACACATAGGACCTCAAAAAATGTGTGTCTTTATGGCCAAGGCCATGGGCTCAGCCATGCCTGGCAACGTCCAACGCCACGTGGCAGTGTGGAGTAGTGCACCGGTGCAGTGCCCATGAGGACCAAGAAGTCGCCACAGCTTTCCACATGGCCCGACTGCGACGCAAAAAAAGGGGTCAGGGTGATCTTCCTGAGGCCCTTGAGGCCCTTTAGGAGTAGAGCTACTTTGGGGGTGCCGAGGAGTTCGGATTGGAACCTAATTTAATATACTACACTCGGAATCATCATGGGTCCATGGTATATCATGGATGTGATGGCCCCCATGATGCTATGACCATTTCCCGAATAGCAAAGGGCAGGGGATTGTGCAGTTCCATGATTCTAGGGGGCGTAGATTGAAGTTGGTTCCGAGGATTCTCACATTTACAAACCAGTATATATCAGTTGGGAGGGTCTTTCTTGGTCAATGATTGTCTGGTGACACAGTAACACCCCTTGGATTGCCATATTTGCCGGTTTTGTTGGTCAATGCGGGAAACAAGTGATCATTTGGTCCCTGAAGTGACCCTGACTTCCAAGTGACAGGCTAAACACCTGTGTCGATCCTTGAGGCTTCAGCGTCGCTCTTCTTTTTTTTAAAGAACCTGGATGGCCGGAATCTGTCCTACTTCGTGTACTTCGCCAAAGCCCAACAGGCTGACGTCCTCAACACACACACACACACCCTGGTACCGAAAGTACACTCCGACGAACACGTCACATGGAAATGGGCCATGCCCACCTTGAAGACAATTGTCCTCCACAAACAGGTGGTTTTCCACTTCTATGTGATGTGTTTATCAAAGGGTATAGGCTTAATGAGGGACCCTTTCCCTTCAATTGCGTGGCCGGCCCTGGTTCTGCAGGCCGACACGCAAATGAATGACATTGGTGAATTTTCCGTAGGCGTTTTCCTTCTTGGCACAAATAACTGAAGTATACTGAAGTAACTCGCGAATGTTGGACAAAACATTGAAAACAACACACAAACTTGTGAACATCAGTGCTATACGGACCACTCCGCTCTCACCAAAACACATGCTAAGCACAACATTCTTCAGGTACAGCAATGAAGAACGACTCTTGGGTGCTTTGCTCGAAGCGATGTGTGACGCCAGCCAAAGCCGACGCCAGCGAAGTCTGCTAAGTCCCACACACTCGGAACTTGTACTGTACGCACATGTAGGCCAGGGGGTAGTTGATTTCAGAGGTCTAATGTAGGACATGTAGGTGTCAAATGGATCCGAACATGTACAACATACCATCGAGTGGGTGCTGCCCCGCCATGGTGATTCTCCCGCCCAGATATATCCTCCATCCGATCCCGACCATCGTCACCCAGGTTCGCCTCCTCCATCTCGCGTCGGCAGCGGTGGAGGAAGCTGGCGAGCTCGCCTCGGTCCCAGCGACTGCGAGCTAAGAAGTCACCGCGAGTGCGGAGATGGAAACAACATGGTCTGTTCCCCATGGGAACAGACATGGGATCTTGGATGATTCTTCGGGTTCTTGAGTAGCCCATTGAAGGTCTCGGGTCATTCATACTCTCGTCGGCATTCCAGATTCAGCCTCATCCTGGGCCTTGAAGATCTTGTGGATCCAGAACAGCCCAACTATCGCATCCACAGCCAAGCACTCCATGGGATCAGATGCAAAACCCATGGGGCCAGGGGTGGGGCCAGGGGTGGTTGATGGTCACAACGTCCAGGACTGTGGAGCGGATCGTTGGATGAAAAACCCTCGCCGGCCGGCAGCGGTGAGGTTCGCTTCGCTGCCCAGGTGCGGCAGTAGTTCCGGCCGTTCAAGGTGAGGTCCGAGCTGTGACTCCCTAAGATGCCTGGATCGAACCGAACGGATCGAACCGAACATAGGCAGAACGAACGGCAGAACCGAAGGTACACGGACCTGTCTGGGACTGCCAGTCCGGACTGCCGCCCCAGAAAGACGCCTCTGGCAACACCCCTGGCCTGATTGGCAGTCCTATGGCAGTCCCATGGAGTGTCTGGGGAAGGATGGAGGTGTGAGGGGGAAAGATCATGAACAATCCCTACCATGAGCGAACGAAGCTGGAGTTTCAAAGTCCGAACCTTTGGACAGCTGAGTGACCTAAGTGTTATTTTTGAGCATCAACCTCCCAACAAATATAGCCCATCCTTGGAGAAAAAGAAAGAACACGTCATGTCTGGGCGCTAGTGACTAGTGTTTGAGAATAGGATAGGTCCTACAAGTAGGTGACATTGTTTGCGCTGAACTCCAGCAAATCAGGACCTTTCCTTCATGAAAACACCACGATGTGGGAGCACCAAGTTCAAAAGGTCCTGCCTGAGACATGTCACCACCCAGTCCGGCCCCCGAAAAAACCCACCGCACGTCGTCGGACATCCTTCCCCCCTGTTCTGGTCAGCCGCCCGGTGCCGCCCGGAGCACCTGAAAGCTGATCTTCACTCTCCGCATGGCGGGTGAGCCAAATGCATCCTGACGTTGAGAATCTTGAGACACGTCGTCACCGTCACGTCGTCACCGTCACGTCAGGAGACACGTCGAAACAGTGCCCGGTCACGGGTCGAAAGCAGCGGTTGCAGAGTCAGGTGGCTTCAGAGGTAAGTTCGATGGCGCAAGCAAAGGGAACCCCCAAGTTCGGTGGTTTAGTAGTGGACGCCCCTAAGACCTATAAGACCTAAGACATCTTGGGGTGCCAGTGCCATCGATTCTGAAGCCACTGTACCAGTACCCGGGACGACTCACAAGTGGGAGGTGGTGACCCCGTGAACCCCAGGTGATCGATCAGGTGATCCAGACGTCGGTCACACACTCATTCACCGGTCTATCCGACCGGTCTCCAGTTGAGACACCGGAACCAAACCACTCTTGAAGACCTGGACTCGGAGGGTACTGGTAGGCATAGATTTGCTCAGGGACCGGGGAAATGATTAGACTTAGACCTATGATCCAGAAGGGATCTCAACCATGAGCGAGGAAAGTCACGTGAACAGCAAAACCAAGGTAGGCATTAAAAACACTCCAATCTTGGCTGATGGCGGCCGCCCATCTTCATGGCCCGGGCAAGCCCGGGCCTGGTGGAGCACAGGTGTACACGGGTCTTGGAAAAGCTGTGTCAAAATTTGTGAGAAGACCATTGGTCATACACAAACACTCCATGATCTGCAATATTAACTAACATATTTATTACACCTAGACCCGTCAGTAAATCTGCCAGTCCAAACTCTTCATCTCCGGATATATCCGATCATTCTCACGGTCCAAGCGTCGGGGCTGGATATGAATGTTGGAGAGAAAGAAACCAATCCTCAGATCGATCGGGACCGTGCGCAAGTAGTTAAAAGGTGTGACTTTCGTTTGTGCTCTCCAAGTCCTCCCACTGTTTGGCTGGTTCGGCTGGGCTAACAAAAATGCCCCAATCATATTTACGCATGGATGTCCCGAAGGCGGCGACCAATAACAACATGGCCCTATGGCCATGGTATAGTCGGTCCTATAGTCTTTTATAGGTGTTGTACCTTTTTGAGTTGTAGCACCGGAAAAAAAAAAAAAAAAAAACATACTACTGGGCACTCGGTATCTGAAGGAATATCCCTGAACCAACCCACGTGTCAAGCTCCCTGCCCAGGCAACATCCACTCATCTGGAGTCATCCCGGCCAATCCACATATAAATCAATATGTGCGGGGTCAAAACATGCTAGTCATTCTGCTGCCATGGTATCGATTTTGGTGTCGCTCTAGAAACCACGTGTTTCCAAAACATGTCAAAATTTCATTCGGAGATGGCACATTCCTGGAACAGGTATCGCGCTTCAGGGTTCCCTATCGCTACACGCAGTGATTTCAGAGTTTTACAAAGTCAATGGCGGATGGCGGTTCACCTCCAAAACTCTTCATAGGATGTTTTGGCCCTTGCTCATGTAATATGAAATCTTGCTTATAATATCATCGTATAATCACCCCAGATGGATGGTAAGGGGCTTTTTGAAAGTTAAGATTCGACATGAAAGAGGACGTTTGATTCGACTCAAGAGCCCTTATGCGAGAAAAGTGGTTTATACCTTCGTACATCCCAACGTCATCTCTCAAGGTCTGGTCATTGAGTCTTCCCAGGTCTGGTCGACGCGTTGAGTCACCCCTGTGGTGTCCTGCTCAAGTGCAACTTCTGTAGTACTCTATAGGTCCACTGCCATCAACACTTTCTGAGAAGCCCAGAAACTGGCTCATCAAGTAGCCGGAGCAGTGATGCATCTCCACCTGTCCCCCAAACCAGCTCCTGCTCTGAAGATTCTGAAGGATCTGGGACTGATCGATTGATCGATCAGATTGACCCCCTTTATGTCTTCATGTCAAGCGGGATGTGCCAAATACATACATGCAATTCCAACCCCCCCCCGCGATGCAAAACAAAAAACAGAAAAGACCGCTGTGCGGAGGTACCGAAGCAAAGCAAGGCCAAGCCTTCTGCCCAACGTTGTAAAGCTTCACGTAGCAAATCTCCCCTCAGGGCGCCGTCACGGCGGAAAGCCGTTTGTGACATGAAGAACTCACACATCTAGGGCTCCAATCACATATGGATGGATGATCGATGAATGGATGGATGGGCGGACGGATGGAGGGAGAGTGCGGGGAGAGAGGGATTATATAGATTGTACATTGATTGATACCCTAGGGCTCCAACCATATCCTCAGAAGGTGGTTAGACCCCCCAAACCCACCTCCTGGTCAAAACATCCTTGGAGGGTAGAAGGTTGGGCAGGTGGGCGGAAGAATGCCGCGTCCCTGGCGCCAAGCTGCCATCATCTTCTTGATCCGTCACAGTCTGGTATCTCGACTTGTACTCCTCGCCCAGTTTTTGGGGTGACCCCTTCAGAACCATTGGAGTAAGGTGGAGAATGGCACTGGGCAGCAAAGCAAATTGTTCAAAGACATGGACTACAAAACCGGGTCTATAGAATGTGAATACACGACAACTAAGGCAAGCAAGACCAGAAGCGCTCATGTGAAACCATGAAGCCTTTGAAGAACAGGTCGCTGTGCAAAGGGCCAAAAGCTCTCAGACCTGCTTTCCCTTCCCCTTGCATTGCATGCAATCTCTATCTCTCTCTCTCTCTAAATGTTGACGCCTTTTTGAGCCAACAGCTGGGCCTGTCCTGAAAAAGAAGAAGTGAGTGAGGGGAACTCATGGTTTATTAGGGACGGCTCGGGGGCCACAATGTTGTTTTTACCGCTTCATGGGCAAATGACACGCGCGATATCCACCTACAGTTGATCCTTCCGACAGCCCTCCAAACCGGATCCGAGGCATCGAATCCAAGCTCCGGACACCACCAAAAGTATCGTCGACACGAACGGCATCCCCAAAAAAGAATACGATAACTTCCTAGACTGATGAGTGATAGAAAATACAATCATTCACTCAATAGTCTGATGAGAGTGACATCCCGCTATTAATCAACTTGCTAGCCCGTAATTGTCCAAGCTTCTGACATGGTTTCATCATGTTTCCATAGGATTTCCCATTTGGTTCAGATGGTCTAAATTGCACAACATTAGAAACGAATCTTAGGGTTAGAAGGACCCCCCCCTTCAACCCATCTATATAGATACTCTCTCCCACCCACCCTTCGTTTCGCGTTGAGATCGCTTCGTGTCCGGACTCACTCCTCCACACGCCGGACGAAGTCCAAGCGAGCCTTGACGGGATCCATATTCCTCGGGCAGATCGCCCCCAGGCCACGCGACCCCCCCATCAGTCCGGCGTTTGGACCGCCACTTAAGAATTCGGAATGCTTTTAAGTGTTTTAAGTTGTATATGAAGTGTTTAGTATCAGTCATCCATGCGACTCCAAGTAGTTTTCATTTAACTTAGAAGTAGTTTAATAGCAGTTTTAATTTGGAATGCTACACTCTGACTGACTCACATCACATGGAAGTAGAGTGGAGCTCCCCCCTGTTCGTTAAGGAATGTAGTCTTCCTTTCGGGACCATGCCATCTACTTCTGAACGTGAGTCAGGGTGTAAATCAGAAGTGTCATCATGATGTCATCCATGTGTTTCTCATCCAGTGAGAAAACCGATTCCTTCATTCCTCATTCCTTGCTATGCGCCGTGAATTTGCGGTTGGTTCCTTTTTGAGCATGCAACCCCTCCAAAGATTTATTGGACACCGTGTCTATCAGGGCCACATCCACTTTCTGCTTTTTTCAGGCACGCACCTGTAGTCATCGTTCATCAACTTCAGGGTATAGTTTCTCTCCAAAATCTCCTCCAAGCAGCATCAAGGCTCCAAAAACATCCCAAAACTGACTCCCTCAGTCCTCAGTCCACCTTTCTCCACCTGTTCGATGGTGTCTCCGTGGGGCGTCTCCGGTGTATCCACTGTTCGCTCCCAATCCAGGAGGTATACCAGCTAGGCTTAGGCTTAACTGAAAACAAGGGCCAGTGGACCACAGAAAGAATGGCCTCCATCCGACTAGCGGCGGCCTCCAACCTAAGAGCGATGGCCTCCAACTGAACGCAGACGTCAAGTGCCATTGCTGCACAATATTCTTGCAAATAGCACAGCCACTCAGCCAGGGCATATCGCCTTGCATGCATTTTCCAGCTTTTTCCGACCGAAAGGTGTCGTGGGACGACCAATTCTAGGTCGTGGGTGAGGGTCCCCGGTCCCCTGACCTCCCAAATGTTGTGGGTCGCAACCAACCGGATGGCCCCGACCCATCCACCATGTAGCGAGCGAAAGAACATCCAACCGGATACTGGTCGGTATAATTTCTTTTGACCCACAGCATCTTACAGCCAAATGACCTCCATGACTGGATTTCTGTGGAGCCTGTGCAGTCGCTCTTCTTAATCTTCTGAGAGTCCAATCTGCATCCTGAGTCTTGCCCACATCTGTTTGTTCGGCCGTGTGTTCTTCGTCGCGCAACGTGTCTTCTCCTTGTTCTCGCAAATGCTTTCGACGAAGACCTCAGCTGTGACCCATTTGAAGAATCTGCACACCACCAGATCTGCATCTTCAAAGGCAGGAGTCATGACTGATGAAAACTTTAATGTCTACCGATTTGGAGGGGCCCCCATGCAACAACCCTAGATACCGTCAAAACACAAAACGATGGCGATTCCTGCACCACGACCTGACCCCTTCTTGGATCCCCACCAGTTTTCCTCCCCCTCAAAAACAGTGAACCCCTCTTTGGCCTGAAAGGCAACGGGAAGGAATTGTTAGTTCAATCTATAATAGCAAGCATTAACAAGCCTTTCTTCCTTTTCTTTGTTTGTTCCTAATAGCAATGGCCTCCACGTTAGTAGCGATGGCCTCCAACCTAAAATAGCGGACGGCTCGCTCTCTGCAGCCGACGGGGCCGGGGTGATGCCGGTGACTTGTCGACACTTGTCGATGATCCGCTGCCTTCTCCTGCTCGGTCTATAGTGGCGAAGGTAGCCACAATGCGCGGCCAAGTCTAGCGTCGAATTAAGGGAGCAGATCTCTGATTTTTGGGAAAAGAGGTGGAGCAGTTGACTGGAGAAACCAATGCCCCCCCGAAGAAAGGTCTGGCTCTCCACTGACTGGAGTGGAGACGCTGAACCCAAGACACAACCTGTGGACTTGCAGTCCTGACTTGCGAGAAACAGCCAGGAGTGGTTGAAAAAGGGCGTCCATGTAGGCAAATATTCGATACATGTATACATGGAGTATCTGCCTAATTGTGGAAGAATTTGGACTGATCCTCACACGCACGATTCGTCGAAGTGAGGATATCGAAATCCTACGGACTTTCTCTGTGAGTTGCCCGCGCCCGCCGTTGGTCAAACTCTCATCGCCTCGTGGTGGTATTGGTTGCATCAAAAATTGCCACACAAACCTCGGGGCCAAAGATCAAGGGAACACATACACCGAACTCCAACAAAAACTTGCACCAACGCTCTGAAAGCCGGTCCAGTCCCCAAACTTGCCAGGAAGCGCTCTTGTGCATCCGAAGCCATGCAATGGCCTGCGAAGAGGCATCAACATGTCTTTGAGGTGGGAAGGCTTTTGGGAACCTTTCTCGGCTGCACGAAAATGGCTGACACTTCGGCTCTCTTGACGCCATTATGATATAGACTGGTTGGTGGTTTCAAGTCACTTGCAGCATCATATGAGTCAGTGGGTTGAGAGGCCAACAAAGCCGGTGAAGCACCTGTACATCTTGCGGAACGCACCCAGAAGGGCCAGTTGGGTAGAGGATCCTCGAATTTCCCAGCCTCATGCATGCATTCATCTGCGATCTGCTCCTGGGAGATGACCCAAGCGCAAGAAGAAAACCAGCTCTTGGTCCCCAGTCCCTGAAGTGACCCAATTCAAGGAAGCTTCAGTCAGCCCAGTTTCTGGGATCTCAGTTTGGGCCGCTTTGAAGAACCAACAAAAACTTGAAGGATATTGAAGAAAGAACACCACAAAGGTGGTCTTCTTAGTATGTTTTTTAACGATAAGCTTAGATTGCATGAGACATCTCCTTTTGGAGGGCTTCTCTCTCAGGACTCTTGGCTGACATATCGCCTTCAGCTGGGAAAGCACTCCTTGATACTCTGCTCATGTCTTTGTCTTCTCATCGCATCTCGCTTTGGAAGAGCTGCCGTTGGGGTCCCAACACTATGAGTGGTTACAATATAAGGACGCCAAAGAACAAGAAAATCCACGTCTGCGTCCACTGTGCGTGTGTGCAGACCTTGCATACAAGGCGTAGAGATTCAATCGTATAAACACACACAGACACCTTCTCATCCAAGGGGTTGTATGTACAAGGTGCCAACCCCATTGTTGGCACGCAATGACATAATATATATATATATATCCAGGAATTCTCTCCCTCCCGAATTGCCAAGTGAAGGGAAAACATAGCTGCCACGACCCACTGAATGAAGTGACGATCATGCTTCTAGGCCTTGTGGGGGTCTGTAGTACGATGTCGGTCCCAAGAGCCCAGGATATCGATGAAATCGTTGCCTACATGTACCTCGCGTATGACCCAATGCAAACGTATGCACTACCTAATGCATAGGTGCCTCCAAGGGGTCGCCCATGGACAATCCTTAGTCTTATAGGTCGTTGTTGTAAAACCCATTTCAGTAGGTAGTTTCTAGTCCCATGGATGGTCCGCGATGCATCCCACCACAGGGCTCTGCTTCAAATCAAATGTGTATAATATCCTTATGAATCACGAGCCTATGTCAAACAATCAGAAACCCAACTACAACGACTCACCGTATGCAAACATGATCGTTATGGTACCTCCTGCAGGGAGACTCAAAGATCTTAGAATGATCTGGTTGTCCTGTATGGTCCAACATGATCCGAAAGGATTCATACAGCCCTTCGAATATACACCATCGGTGGGTGAGAGAGACGTACCTATGCCATCTCCTCCTTTCCAAGAGATCCCTAAGAAGCAAGAACCAATTGGCAAAGGACAAGGCCAATCGAAATCCCCACACATGTCGCTTCACATGGGCGCCCAATCCTCCCCAACAATTCTCTATAGCCTTTTTTCTAGTCCGCCTCAAAACCAAAACAAGGTGGATTAAAAGAAAAGACCTCTATATAAAAGGACCAGAAACAGGCCACCAGGCCACCGTGCCACGAAATGCTGGCCTCGCCGCCCAGCATCTTCCACTTCCGCCAAGGCACTCGCATCTTCGTGGCGCTCTCCGAGCCGCTGAAAAACTCCGCCGAGGCGCTGCAGTTTCCTGAGCGCCCCGAGTGGCCGGGGCGTGTGTGACAAACGCCTGGCATGGACCGACAGCAGACCTGGGGGGGGTGAAAGAAGCCAAGAGCATCCGTTGTCACAAGGGCCCAACAAAAACGAACAAAACTAGATATATATCTGAATGTATCATGCTGTATCATGTATCTAATTGATATGTATCACTCACTTGTAATTGGATGTCTATAGTTTGGTTGTTTCCCCCGCGGGCGGCCTTAGGACTCACAGTCTCTCAGTCTGTCAAGGAATCTATAATTAACATAGTCAGAATGTGACAAGCACCCTCCCTCCAATGTCATTATGATTATTAGATGTTACGTCGGTAGTATGAACCCTGGAAAAAGGAAAGGATCCTCTACAAACAGGGGGTTGTCCACTCACTAGCTAGGGTTCATGCCATGGCCAGTCAGGTCGCTCCCTGCGGAAGTCCACGAAAAGCAAAGGCACCAAATAAGAACAGGTGAAAAGGGGTGCTATAGCAGGGTCAACTCTAGCGGTGCAAGGGCAGTAGTGGAATCATGCCTTCAGGCATGGTTCTATATTATTCTCATGTTTTTGCCATAGGAGGGCTGCTCATTGGTGTTTGGTCTCTGGCTGGCGAGGAAGTCTCCGGTGCACGTTCCCCGGAACTCGTCGTTGGGATCCGACGGTCGCGAGTTAGGAGAAGCGGGAATTCACCACGACACAAGCGAATTAAAGAGGTGACAAAGGCAATGATAAAGTATAAAGCATTTAAACTTAGTAAAAACCAAAGTGTCAAGAGATAGACCTTTTGATTGTCCAGCCCACCCAGCCAATCATCTGGCCAACTTTGGCTACACTCCTTGGATCCGGAAAGTGGAAAACACGACCTGTATTTGGCATTCGGACGATGATCATCCAACCGGTCTTTTTTCACTTCCATGCTGCTCCAACCGGGAGTGTACATCATTGGGGGTGGTTGATTTCAGGTCATGCCTATGGCTTGGCGTATCATCTCTATGGGTGGCTACTGCGGCTACTGCGGCAACGGCGCGGCTACTGCGGCAACGTGCCACCAAGTGGCCGGTTTGCCGCCGGACATTGCCGGCGTTGAAGGCCTTCACTGGAAAGCCGCTCCACCTTGGAACCAGAAACTGCGTCAAACAGGACCCGACCTCCCCAAGAGCGGCGGAACAACCGAAGAGCACGGGTTATTCGTGTCTAGCATGTGTTTGGATAGGGGTGGATACCGTGGTTTTGACTCCTTTTGGAGCATGAGAGGGTGCCAGAATCCATGGAAAAACATGTTTGCGTTGCTATATTATGCTGCAGCGGCAGGTGTACAAAGGAAAAGAAAAGAATACCAGCCTGAGGAGATGTGATGTCATTCCTTTGGTAACAAAGAACATATGTTGCGCACATCATGGGATCCTTGAAAAAGGCGTGCCAAACAGTGCTTGCATGGATCTTGCGACGTGCAATCCTTCATCAAACAAGCCCCTTTTTGGGGAGGCTCATAGTGCAACAGCAAACTTCAAAATGGCAGCTACCCAGCAAACTTCAGTGCTGGCGGCCGCTGGCCCACCTCCCCATGCATCCCAGGCGCGCGAGATAGCGCATCAGCATCTTGGTGATGTAGGATTTCCCCCGTGCTGGCAGGCCCACCATGCACAATAGGACGCGGCTGGACTGGCTGTACCTTGGACTGAGCATTCGAAACACAAGCTCCTGGTTCTTGAAAGTGATTGAACTTGGTCCCCATGGTTTAAGGTCACAACAGGCCTTAAAGAAAAGGCCACTTCTAGGGACTCCCAAAAGTCCCACACGAACTGAAGAAGCTGGCTGTGGTTTGTTTGATCCTTTGGCGATCTTCCCCAACAAAAGAAACAAGGATGGCATCTAATCAGTCTTCTCAAACCTGCAATTCCTGAAACTCCAACTGGGCCATTTGCCTTCGCTGTCTTCCCACAACCGACCACAATGTGTTGTGAGATGTTTGGAGGATTCCCACCAATCCATTTTGCCCATATTTGCCCCCCCAGTTCTCCAAGCAGTTGGTTTTCATTGAACAGATGTCCGACGCCTGACCGCCTGACACCCAAGACCAAACCGCCCACCCCGCCCACGCTCGGCCACGGTACCCTCCCAGCCCATAGATCTTGGCCACGTCCTGCGAGCCGTTCTCTGACGAGGCTTGGAAGACCATGATGCCGACGAGAGACCTGAAAATCCTGGACACTAGGACCCACTAAGAGGTGGTGAATAAACATGGTCCTTGGTAGAATGGTCGAACTGGGGCCGACTGCAACGGATGGTCCCGTCCTCAGAGCTGGCGAAGCTCACCGAGGAACTGTCGTCCCTCTCCGCACCGCGTGACCGGTGCCGGGCCTCGGGGTGACCAGTGCGGAACGGAACGCCAGTTTGTGTGGAACCTCGTTGATGTACTGATTGCGGTATCTGTTTTTTGTTCTGTGGAATGGATTAGTAGATTATAGATAGATTATGTATATATATATATATATATGTTAACAACTTATAGAATCATGTCATGCATCGAGAGAAGCTTTGAGAAGTGCATTTGGGAGTCGTAGGCTGACACCCCACGACGTGCTCTAAGTCAAGAGGGAGCAGGTTTTGCCTTCTACCCGACCAAACGGGTCACACACACACAGGAAGCTAGTCAGCTCCAGGCAACGGTCCAGCAACGCTGACCCTTCAAACCACAGATCGGTCTGTGGCGAGTTCAGCATTCTTCCCCCATGCTTCCACCTTCTACCGATGATCCCTGGTTTCCTGTCCCTTCGCCGTTTCCATGGCTACTCCTTGGGCCCTTCCTCCCTTTTCGGTGATCCACAGGTCACTCGTCGGTCGCAGCACTGCAGGGTCGGTCGGGCGCCCCCACTGGAGATCTGGGAGGGGATCCTGGGAGTGCGGTGGATCGCGTGGCAGTCCCAGTGGGACGGTGGCAGTCCCAGCGAAACGGTGGCAGTCCCAACGCCATGAACGCGTCCTTTGGGTTGGTGTCAACTCAGAGGTTGGAGGTTATCCACTGACTGGGTGACTGGGTAGGTCACTTGAAAACTACTAGTCAGCGGCTCCCAAGTAAATGGTTGAACATATACAGTATAGATCTGAAACCACCATCCAGTCCTCCTCAATGGAACGCATGACGAAGCAGCTGTACGGGTCCATCTGTAAGCAAGTGTTTGCACCATATCCACTTTTGGGGAGCAAAAAGAGATCACCCAAAAAGAGATCAACCAATAGAACCCTGTCACATTTGCTTAGCACTGGCTGCTTTCCCGCCCCCTGCCGCACATAGGGCCGGACACGCGACAAACACCTGCAGGTCTCTGGTGCCCTCCGAGGACTGAAGGCCTCTGAGGACCGAAGGCCGCTGGCCACGGCTAAGTCGGCACCTGCAGGTTGATGTTGCATGAGTTTACCATAGCTTCGGATGGCACCCGGAGCCAGCCTGGAGCCCATCTAAGATCCTTCACCGATTTGGACCGCTTTCAGGTGGCGAAGAAACCGCATGACTTCGGTGACTTCAACCACCGTGAAGCAAATGACCTGAAGTGACATATACCCCAGGCGCACGGGGGTGTTCAAACCGCTGAAGTCCGTAAAGTGACGCAAACCGGTGACATATACCTTCCGTAAACCACTTCCGGAAGTGCACACATAAACAAGACCCGTTCGGAGCCGCACCGAGTTCGGCGACTCCTCGCACTCGATCCGGTGACTTGACGGTCCTCCGGTGACTTGACGTGCCAAGCGCAGGCTGCCCTCCTGTTTCTGAGCTGATGCCGACATCAAGAGCAAAAGACCCGTGGATGATGCAACATGTGGATACATGTGGAGTATTGGACATTTATTGATGCTTCCCCGTTCAAATGAAGGCTGGATGCATCCCAGATATCCAAGCAGATCCAAGCAGTCTGATTTCAGTGGATTTCGAAGGTGGCTGCTGTCTCACCCCCCGGGTCCGGGTCCGGTCCGATCGGCCGAAGAACAGCAGTTCGGTCGGACCGTTGAGGCGGTTCGGTTCAACGGATGGGTTCTCCGCCCCAAGACATGCTCTGGACACCGATGTGTTCGGTTCTCCCCTTACGTGATGTCTGCCGACGTTGCGACCGAAAGAGAGGTGGACCATTAGGTGGACCGTCTTCCATCCCCCCAAAAAACCCTTGGCGGGTAATCCGCTGACTGGTTGAACTGACTACCCGAGTTCTGTTCAAATCCACCCAGTCACTGCCCAACTTCCCCAGAACGTCCTGGCTGAGCCTTTGCTCCTTGGGTAGAAGCGGTGGCTGAGTGAATCTGGCGATCAAACCCCAGGTTGGGCCCCCAACCTCCAGTCCAATCACGAATCTGCTGGGCATACACAGCAGTTGCTTCCTGGGGCTGGGGCATCCTATATGGAAGATCACGTGGACCTCACATGACAATCAACATGGATACATCCACCCTCAATGGGAATGTTCAAACGATTGTGCCAACATGATATATATATATATAGATACTGTAATCCCGAGTACCTACTAAAAACAATAGGAATTGAATAAACCCTCTAAAATGACCAATAGGTGGAAGGATGTGGAAGGGATTCATTATAGAAATCAAGTTTCAATGAAATCAATATATATGAAAAATCAAATCCATCCCAATCAATGTGACATCAAATAGAAATGACACCATAATCATAATATGAACAATCATGAAGAATCAATCCATCCCTTCCATCACACGAAGCCCTCCCTCCAGAACGACTCCCGCACACGTTCGAGGCTCCAATTCCAGGATCGCCTCCCGGTCGCTCAAGACCGACTCGCTACGCCTCCGCGGGCACAGCTTCTCCTGGCAGCCCAGCGACCCGACGACGGATGGGGAGGGACGAAGTCGCCGGGTCGCGATGGGAAGAGTTCGTCCACCTGCGACTCCTTTAAGCAAAGCATTGGAGAGAGAGAGAGAGACTTGCTAACTAGTAGCGTCCGCTGCTACTACTATAGCGATGGCCTCCTAACCTAATAGCAGTCAATATTCCAGCCCCATGGAGTGTGCGGGAATGCAAGAATACTGAATATGATCGAATACGTGTTTGCAATCATGTATGTAAGACATTTCGGAGATATCACCACCTTCAAGACCGGTTTAAAGTGTACACCCCCCGAAAGAAAAATACACACTGCAATTTGAAGCCAAGTTATGTTGGATCCTTTTGGTGCGCCGAGTCCTGAACCAAAGATATGTTTCCGCTGCCGCCCCATTTATGACACTCCGACGAACACATCACATGGAAGCGGACACCATCCGGCCCGTGGAGGAAAATGGTCTTTCCAGGGGTCAAGTCATCCACTTCCATGTTGAGTAAAAGGTAAAAGGGTAGCTATGAATGACGCTTCATGGTAGCTATGAAGGGACCCCTGGCCATCGACACGTCCTCAAGGCGTGTGTTTTGCCAACAATTCCGGTGCCTTGAGGCCAATGGTGTACCATGGTCCGTACGTCTGTGTCTGCTCGCATTCCGGGGGTCAAGATCGGACTCAATCGCTCACCACGTGAGAAAGCCGCCGCACCTGGTGCCTCCGAAAACCAGGGTGCCATGGAGAGTGAAACAAGGGTCTGAGCCTGGGGGACCGAGCCAAGCCGATGGCATCGATGGCATCGAGCATCGTAGCGGAGCCCTCCTTCTCGTTGCCGTTCTCCCCGGAGGCACGGCGCTTGCGGCCAAACAAGTAGCCGCAGCAGAAGGCGCCCAGCAACAAGGTGACATGGACCCAGATCTGAGGAAAGGGAGGAAGGGATCAAAAGACCCAGTTGGAACCCGTCAAAGCAATGCTCAGTCCCGGGGAAGTAGAGACATAATGGATCAGGAGACAACGAGAATACACATCCTACCATTGACGCTAATACTGCTTATGATGCGAACTTCTAAAACCGCATGTTGACCCTTTGTGTCTAGACTTCTTTCAGTTGAAAGCTGAACAAAGTCGTCCATTTCGGCCTAAGAAAACCTATACAGAGGGACCAAAGCCACGGGGATTCAACAGCACACCATGCAGCCGGAAACACGACAGTTGCCGACGCCAAGTGTCCATAGCAAGTGGATGGCTGGCTTACTACTGCGCAGTCACCAGTTGCTGGCCATTGGGGTCAGAAAAAAGCGTGCCGAGTGCCGATATCGATGGTTGGAGAAATGCATTGTGCCTGGGAATTTCCAACGTCTGACCATCCATCTATAGCAGTTGAAAAGCCGCTGGATGGGCATTGATAGGGCTCCCAAGTCCACGAAGACTGCTCTACTTACGGCGTCAAAAAATATAAAACATCGCCCCCAACTAATAGTTTCAATGTTCTTGCATGTTGACGGCTTCCGGGGTGCGATTGGATCATTGGCCCGCGAATGAACCCTTCAACGACCAAATCCCTTAGGGTTTGGGGATTCACTCCAAAAAAATCTGGCTTCTTCAAGCAGGATGCCCTGATCTTGGATCATAGTCATAGTCAACTCGGAGCCAGCCGTTCTGCGGAAATCTCGAAGCTCGGTGAGTGCTCGTGCAAGTCATGGTATCGAAAACCGGACCCATCAATGGATGGTCATGTGCACTTCCACTCACCTAACATGGAAGTGGAGTTCCTCCCGCAGTACAGGACCAGCCCTAGGGCTCCTGGCCCATCTCCTCAGGTTCGGTCGTTCAACAAGACCCTAGAAGTCCAAGTCGACTATATTTTGACCGGCTGAAGTAAAGGCTATTCCTTTTCGGGAACATATAGTTTACTTATGTTTACTTAACAGGTGGAGAACATATTTTTTGGGGGGTGTGAAGTCTGAATTGAACGCCCTTCCTTTTCCTGAATGAACGCGCTCGAGTCTAGACTCGAAAGGCCCGTCTCGCTCTTTTGGGCCTCAGAAGGTATGACTGGAGCCCTTATAGTAGCCGCTAAGTGGCAAAAGCTCCGACTCTTAGGGCTGCCTTCTTCAAACCAAAACACCTGCCAATCCGATGCAATCCCCTGCTGATGTTCTCATCCACAAACACAATTTCAATTCAAAAGAATGCAGGCCGAACCCTCCCAACAATATTGCTGCGAGGACTTCGGCACTGAAGGCCATCGAAGGCCCCTCGGGCTCCCGGACGTCCTCCTTCTCGGAGGAGGCCTGGAGGGGGTTGAGGCCAGGACGGAGGGATGAAGACGGTGGCGGACATGGGGAGAGACGACTCAGACTCTCCACGGCACACCAAGTGCCGGTGAAACGTTCTGGGTGTGACATGGATTCCTTCCAGATTTGAGTTCTGCGGGTGTTTCTTCCGGGCAGAAGAAAAGAAAAAGTGCAGCTTCAGTAGACTCAGTAGAATCCAGTAGACAGCGCAACATCAGGTTGTCTTCCATCAACGTCCTCAAGCTCTCACATCAGACCGTCTTCCAGTTTTCACATCGCTGGGCTCCATGGGAACTGGAGCAGTTGAACCTCCCACTGTTAACATCACATCGGACATGCACGGCTGGGCTTTCGGGCTTTCCGAAAGTGGTTGTTGCACTTTCGGAGTGTGAGGTGTTCGTCACAGGGGTACATTGACCTCTCAGGATCCCGAATGCTAAGCAACTACAGCATGATAGGTTTCTATAGGCCCAATGAGGCCCAGTGAGTTGAGTCCCATGGCTAGTGATCCTTAAGCTCTCCAAATCTTCTATCGCTAGCTGCTCAGCGAGTGAGATTGGAGTCTGGAGCACCAGAACGAACTGGGGGGTCTGGGTCTGGTCATGAATTACGAGGAACCAAAACAACGAATCCAACATCTACACAGGGATCAAAGGCTTCTGAACCTTAATCGCAATTGGTGAGCCGGAGGGAGCTGGCATGTCTCACTCGGCTCCCTGACCCGTGTCCAGGGCCATGTCCAAAGAGGAGACTTTGACCCCCTGGAAGGGTGGGTGAAGGCGCCCACCAAGAAACACATCCACAAGTATTATACCACGTCTGTGTAGACGTCCGGGGCAATGGCCCAGTGACGAATTGAAGACATGTCTGAAACATGGACCCCAGAAGGAAGGAGGGAACGAGTTCCTGTTGCCATTGCCGGGCCCCCGTGTGTGTGGGCAGTTGGGTGATCAATGGGTCTGTACAGGGGATTCTATCGCCAGCCTGATTCCCTAGGCTGGCGATCGCTTTCAACCGCCGTCGGACAGCGCCTCTCTGGCCTGAAGCATGACTTGCAACTCTGCCTGCGTGGGAGATCCACCAGGGCAACAAAAATGGAAGCAAGGCTTTCTTTAAGGCCCCAGATCTCCGGCCATCCCGGTCTGCGTCACCTTCCGGATGTGTGGTCAATTCGGGCGGAGGGAGAAGAACCACTGACCCACCTCCCTTCCCCTACGAAACGGACGTTCGCGAACTGCGCGGCGAGGCTTCGCCGTTTTCGGTTCGAGGCTTCGCTCGTGGTGGTCCATCATGCAACCAAAGAGGCAAGAAGACTTGAGCAAACTGGCTTCCAACCATAGCTTTTCCATGCATCTGGAAACTCCTGATGGAAACAAATTCCAGATATGATATGTCCCAATTATATAACTGGAAGGAGGGTCCACCAAAGGGTAAAGTTAAAACCAGGACTGTAGACTGGGTTAATTAAATCTTCAGTTAGCCCCCTGCCGAGCTCCGGATGCAAGTGAGAGTATAACTTCGAATAAACTGACTGCAGCCCTCACGCTATTCGCAAATGAAGGCCGCACACTGGACACTGGAAGGGAGTTGACCCTTGCAGTAGTAAACACTTGGAGGGGTTCTGGCACTTTGACAGCTCAAAGCAACAAGAACAAGAACCGCCAAGGCACCATAAGGCCATTGTGTCAGAACCCCAATCGCTTGCAGGCCTTTGTGTCATGCATCGAATTCAGGCGTTCCACATCTCGACCCGCCGATGACATGGAGACATCCGTCTTCAGGACCAAAACGTTGCCAAACTTTGGGGGGGGCCTTCCTATTCACCATAGTAGTGGAGGATGATGGAGATGAACACATCAAGTTACCCAGCCTTTAAGTGTTTCACAGCCACGTCTAATGGGATTCTAGCACATGGACATGCACTAGAAGGCCTCGATGTTATGATGCTTTCATCCCGGTCAGGTGGGCCCTATGGGCTTGAAGGGGGTCCTCTGGGCTCTCCTGGCCACCGGCATGCCCACCACTAAGGGGTCAGAGTGAGCGGAGCGGGCGCCCGTTTCAGCTCCGCGATTAGCGGCTATACCTGGCAGTGGGGCGGTGGTCCAAAATCACCAAGGGCCCCTGTCAGGTTCCAACAACCTGCGAAACAAGGGATACTCTCCCTGGAACTCACATGGAAGTGGAACTCTCCCTGGAACGTACATGGAAGTGGAACCCCCACACACACACACTCTGACATTGGTTTGCTGTTAACTATTGTTAACTCAATTCTCACGTTGAGAAGGAAGGTGAGGGAACGGCATGGTGAAAAGTCCAAGAAAATTGAAGGTGTTTCAACAATGGTTTGGTGCACATCTGCAGTTCGCGAACGGCGCGCGCGGCAGCTGACGGCAGCAAAAGAAAGGTTATGGGGGATGAAAACATGTAACCACCATGAATCAAATAAGGCGGATTGGAACAGCTTGTGCAAGAGTTGCTTAGCAGGTACATGAGAGTGATCAGCTCTCACTTCCCTCGACACATCATAGCTTCATTGCGTCAGGTAGATGTGTCGAGCCTGACGCCCCTGCAACTGTGGTAGAAAAGAAAGGCGGAACCCTTAGTAACAGGGGGTGACACACACAGGTAGCCGAAGTCGGCGCAGGCACATGGAAAGGTGGCATCGTCTGCCTTTTTCTCTCAAAACGCCGGCATGCAGTTGGGTCGGTGGAAATGTGAACTGACGTTTTCTGTACCGCTTGGAAGTCAAAATGCGATGACACATCCTTGAAATCGAAAGTGCAGCTGCAAAAAAGAATTCCGAATCACAAGCTCTTGCAAACATGTCGATACAAAGTCTGGAGAAACAGAATATCCGTGGAAGCCCGGCGGCTCTGGATTCCGACAATTCAGTAGTGAGACAAAGACAGTCAACGTGATGCACGATGAAAAGATGATGAATCAGTGACACGATTTCCGGCATGACAACGGCGCCTCCTTGCGGAGGATCACACCCAGCACCCAAGTGGGACGGCTGAGCGGTTCACACTCTGACATTGGTTTGCTGTGTACTCAATTCCCACGTTGAGAAGGAAGGTGAGGGAACGGCATGGTGAAAAGTCTAAGAAAATTGAAGGTGTTTCAACAATGGTTTGGTGCACATCTGCAGTTCGCGAACGGCGCGCGCGGCAGCTGACGGCGGCAAAAGAAAGGTTTTGGGGGATGAAAACATGTAACCACCATGAATCAAATAAGGCGGATTGGAACAGCTTGTGCAAGAGTTGCTTAGCAGGTACATGAGAGTGATCAGCTCTCACTTCCCTCGACACATCATAGCTTCATTGCGTCAGGTAGATGTGTCGAGCCTGACGCCTCTGCAACTGAGGGGGTGACACACACACACAATGGTTTTTGCAAGGGTAAATTTTCGTGAATTGTCAACTTCCATTCTATAAAGACCCAAATACGACAATCCAAATCCGTCTGTTTCAGTTTCAGGCTTTCTCAGCAGGTGTTCTTTTCTGGTGAGAACAGCCAAGTCCATCCAGTGGTGTTCAGAACCATACTAGGAACAAGAAGCTACGAACGGGGCTCCTGGCATCGCTACTAGGAGCGATCGGACGCTACTAGGAGTTACTAGGGGCTCCTGGCCATACTACTAGTAAGAAGAACGCTACTAGGAACAAGAAGCTACTCTGATGGAGAAGAACTGCTGGAGTCAGGATGAACTGCATGAGTCAGGTGATTGTGGCGGTGGGACCACGCCACACCATGATGACCTAGCATGTTCTTTCAACAGAATAGGCGACTATAGGGAAGGTCAACCTACCATGAAAGGGCTCCAGGTGTTGTGAAAAAGGGGGATTTGGACCCTGTCCTCTGAACCTCTGTCCATCCGAATGCTGACCGAAAGTCTGTGCCGTAACACGGCGCCAAACAACTCACCACTCCGCCGCCCTTGGGGTGCAGCCACGAGGCCAAACGATGTACTCCGGGTACACCTGGGGCGGTTCTGAATCAAACACATCGCAGTCGACTTCGAGATCAAGGAAGGTGCGGTGTAAGCGACCAGCAAAATGGTCACAGAACCGGAAATTAAGGACTGATCTGCACCTGATCTGCCCCAAATGGCTGGTCTTTGGACCAGTTCATCGACACCCGTCTACCAAGACCCCCGAAGACTCCCGAGTCTGCCGGTCGTCGGCCTGGTCGTTGTCGAATACAATGAACTCTCGGTAAGTGCCTCTCACCTGGGCGGGCGGGCCGTGCAAAACAGCCCCAAACGCAGCTGGGAGGCTTGAGCAGCTTGACTGTAGAGGTTTGCCTGCTCTCTGGGAGGTGTGTGTTGGGTCGTGCAGCTTCGCCTGCTTTGAGGCTAATTCAATTGGAACACTGTTCCCCAAAGCTTTTCATGAGCTCTCCGTGCAGGATTCATTCGTGTTTTGGGGGGTTTTGGGGGGTGTCTCAGCGGACAGATCCGTTGTCGATCTCGGGCCTCCGATGATCGTCGGGCATCGCTACGACTTACAAGGACGCTACGAATGTAGCTCTTGGCATTACTAGTAACAAGAAGCTAGCAATGTCGGCGGAGGATTAATCAACCCACCCCCCACCCACCCCACCTTCAAGGTCAACAAGGTCAACAAGGTTTGAGATTGGAGGGATTGGAGACCTCATCCCCTTAATAAAGGTGATGACCTGATGATGGATGATGAGATGATGACAAGATTAGGAAAGATTGGGATTGGGATGATTGGGATGATTAGGAAAAGAAAGAGGATTGCAGGATGGAAGGGATGGAAAACAAGCCAAAGGATGGGCTTGATTAATAGGGGAGGGGCCCCTACTATTAGAGGGTGGTAGGCCCTGTGTGAGGGGTACCCTTTGTGAGCTTGAAAACCTTAAGATGATAGAATTATAAAAAGGTAAAATTAAAGAAGGTTGCTAGCGAGTTCTTTTTGTATTTAACAGGGGAGGATGAGAAGAAAAAAACAGGATGAGAAGCAAAGGAGGATGAGAAGCAGTGGATCAGAAGATACTGGATACTGCCCAAAAAGAAAGTATATCGTTTCCTGGGGGAGCTGGGCTTGATTAATACGGGGAGGTCAGGTCATCTGCTAGGAAAAAACACATATTAGGGTGATGTACATGTCGAATTCAGGTTTTAACATAGTTTAGAATTGAGGGCTCGTGCTGGGCTTGATTCATAGGGGGGGTTACTTAAGACTTAATCCTAGGCGCGCATTAGATTGGAGATTCGCAGGGGCGAGTGGACGCGAACAGTCCGCTCGTACGTCGCCTTCTCTCGATCCCCCAGGACGCAATGAAAGCCCTCATGGTGGCAGGCGTCCTGCGGAAATTGGCCGAACGGACCGGTGCATGGAACCCCGAAAGAAGAAACACATGATGATTGATCATCCGGTCCATTCTAAACAGGTTGCTGTATGGGCGACTGGCCATTGCTCCTACAATACCTCTTCGTTCCATGAGTTTCCTGCAAGCCGAATGCCTAAAACCGCAAAAAAGTCGTTAAGCACAATTCTGTTGCAAGGGTACAGAAGTAAACATCATGGTCAAAAGCATCGGCACTTTGAGATTTCAAAGTCTTTGAGCAACCGCCCCCCTCTGTCAGCCTCTGTCCCCGAAAAAGAATGAAAACGGTTCCTCGAGCTTCTCTTTGTGGTCGGAGGGGCTCTTCCAGTCACCTGAGATGTGTCCAAGCAAAGTGCCTAGAGCTCCAAGTCCCACAACATTTGCAACATGCGTTTTGTTGGAGGCGTATTTTTCACTTCCGTGGGTCAAGAATGTGTACCCCAAAAAGATTCTGGTGAGAACATAGATCAGCCATTCATCTGGTATTTAATATTTATATGCGGTCTGATAATGTCTGATATATATATATATATATATTGATTTAATATACTATAATATAGATGTAATGCATTGTTTTCGGGCAAGCCTGACTGCTGCTGGTTTTCCCCCAAAACCCCTTAGACCCTATAAGACCCTATATAGACGTCGTCACGGTCCAAACCTGGTGTTTTTGGCCTTTTCAGGCGTGACCGTGGCTTCAGAAGTCCCCCGGTGGTTTTCCCGTCGCGCTACGCTGCTCCGTTCTTCGCTGATCTTCTGCCGAGTTTCAATAAAAGAGTCGTCCACAGGTCACTCGGCAAAGGATGAGTGGATACCAGTCCCTGGAGACCGGTCGGTGGCTTGCGGCGGCGAAATGGGGTGGACATGCAAGCGGCACCGCGTGTCCGAGTACCGCGACGTTCGGCGTCCGGCGGCGGGTCACACAACGGCACCACACACCTGAGAGAACGAGAAACAAGCAGTTGTCAATCAACAGCTGGTTGAAGTGGATGTGAACAAACAAACGGTTCACTCGTGCACAGTGTTCGAGTCGACCACACTCGAGAAACACATATGCGCCTCTCATCTGCTTTTGTGTATTCATCTGATTTCATGCAGCTCCTGAGGCACCCATTCAGAAACGAACGAAACGTGAAATGCAGCGAACAGAATGACAGCTATACCGGAAAAATACATGTTTTATCATGTTTTGGTGCTTTGAGGCGTGATATCTTGTATTATCAGGTCCAACTGGTTAATTCAACCGTACAACGAAAACTTTCAAGCCTAAGTTGTGCAAAATGTTTCTTGATTGAATGCTTACTCCTCCACCGCCTCCACCCACCCAGCTCCACCCCAAAACACCAAGGATCTCTGCAAAGTAAAGTCCGCGTCCAAACATCGTCCCAGCTGCCTTGGACCCGGTTGATGTTGCGGGACGGACGGGCAGCGCGGTCTGTCTGACAAAGTGTCCATGTGGTGGAAATTTAAATACATGGAGCGTCTGGGGGAATGTTCTTTTCTGGTTCTTACAATGTTTTTTGAACTCTCTCTCTCTCGATATATATATATATATATTGGGGCAGCCAACTAGCAGGGAAGAGGTAGGAGCAGGGAAGAGGTAGGTTTCAGTGGTAGTTGGGAGCAAGTTGGCCACAAGGCTCCTCTGGGAGAATAGTGGGATTATTTTTTAATACAAACCCGCTCTTGAAATATAGTTGGAAATTAGATCTGTTTTGTTCGTTTGGATGTTCTTTGTAAAGAATTGTTTTAGAAATATCAGCCTTATGCAGTTAGTGTATTCTGCTTATCTTGCCTTTAGTGGGTTGACTAGAAGGGGGGCTTAGAAATTATTAAGGGATGCATTAACTGAGTCTGTCGGAGTTTAATCACTAGTCTGTCTTTTAAAATGGCACAACCGGTCAAAATCAACAAGTCAACAAAAAGTCAACAATGAAGTGCGTCTTGAGGAGCTCCATCTCGCCGTTCTCACTGTCGTTCAATCTTCGGACCTCCCTTGTCCAGTGCCAAGGATCGCCATCAGCTTCCAAAATCACTGAATCCGCTGACTCTTGGATTCAGCGCCGTAGAAAGCTCCCAACCAACGACGTTCTGTGGCCCCAGTGTTCTTTGCAAGACAACTGAGCGTCGTTGTCCAGTCAGCTTGGCTGCGTGCAGTGTGGAGCATCTCTGGTTTTGGCAAGCCTTGCGGCAGTGGTGTTTGCTGTCATCACTGCCTTCTTTGTCAACGTCGTCGCTGTAGTGACAGTCACCGAAGGGATGTTCTTACGTCCACACCTTGGGCATGCGGCGACGCGTTGAAGCAGTCAAGGCAGATCGAGCAGTGCGTACGCAGACAGCACTGCACAGGCGGACATGCAACAAGCTTCCAATAGTTTCCACGTCTGTCTCGACCGGCTCCAGGCAGCTGACCTCATGAGTTTGCTTGGCCTTGCTGTAGTGGTTGCCAAGCAGGGCGAATCCGTCCATCCGTCCGCGCATCTCCCTGGAGTGAGACATTCCTCAAGTCTGCGTGGAGTGATTGTAGGGCTTTGGAGATCCCTGTCCGCGTGTGGGTTTTGATCCAGCAGCCCTTCGTTTTGCATCATCAATGCCATGTCCTCCTTCTTGGAAAGCCATTAATGAAGGGCTGACACTTCCAGAGTCTGCATTGGCTCCAGCCAATTGGCCTTTCGACTGGCTCCAGAAATAGAGTCCAGAAAGAGGCTTCTCGAAACTCAAACTCAAACCCCTCCAACGTTTTGGAATCTTCTCAGACTTTTCTTCAATAAATTCAAACATACATCTCCAGATTGAAAGCAGTCAAAGCAGCAACAAAATGGTAAAAGGTGCTGCAAAGTAAACATTTTGCAGAAATACAGAACATCATTGAAACCCAAAAACAACAAAAAGGCAGGCCAGCACCAATTACTTTACTTCGAGTGATCCCCACCATGACATTTCAATCATTTGTCTTGATGCCATAGTGAGGAGCATGTTGCCATGGTCGTGAGTATTGTAGTTCTCGATTTTGGTTGTGGGTACTCGGGTTGTGTGCTGTGGTTGTGTGTTGTGCTTGTGGTTGTGTGTTTGTGGTTGTGTGTGTGTGTTTGTGATTGTGTGTTTGTGATTCGTAATTGTGTTTGTGTTTGCGTGTTTGTGGTTGTGTGTTTGTGGTTGTGTTCGTGGTTGTGTGTTTGTGGTTGTGTGTTTGTGGTTGTGTGTGATTGTGTCTGTGGTTGTGTGCGTGATTGTGTCTGTGGTTGTGTGTTTGTGATTGTGTGTGGCTGTGTGCTTGTGATTGTGTTTGTGATTGTGTGTTTGTAGTTGTGGTTGTAGTTGCTTGTTTGTGGTTGTGTTTGTGGTTGTGTGTTTGTGGTTGTGTGCCATGGTCGAGGTCCGGCAGGGAACACTGGGCGTGGAAGGTCGTGGTTGAGGTCCGGCACGGAACACTGGGCGCGGATGGTCATGGTTGAGGTCTGGCAGGGAACACTGGGCGTGGAAGGTCGTGGTTGAGGTGTGGCAGGGAACACTGGGCGTGGATGGTCGTGGTTGCGGTCCGGCAGAAATCACTGGCCATGGATGGTCGTGGTTGAGGTCTGGCAGGGAACACTGGGCGTGGATGGTCGTGGTTGAGGTCCGGCAGGGAACACTGGGCGTGGATGGTCGTGGTTGAGGTCTGGCGAGGAGGAGAGAAGAAGAAGGAGGAGGAGAAGGAGAAGTCAGCTAACATAAAATCTAACAACCCTCACCTGACAGGTGGGGAACTATAAGTAAGCGCAGGCCAAAATGGCAAGGTACACTAAGGACCGACCGATAGTGGCGCAAACCAACCGCAGACCAAGTGCAACTCGGGGTCGAAGGCAAAAAGGTCTCCGTCGCACGTCGTCCAGGCCATGCACTGTCCGACGCGCAGAGAGATATCCGACCCCCCCAAAAAGAACTGTGAACACTGTGAAGTGGTGAATAAATAGATTGGGTGACATTAATTCAATTAACTCTTTGACTAAGTAAACACGCGAGGGCTCACCCGGAAACTATAAACAAAATAACATGTGAACATTATGTGTGAAGCTGTGACTGTTGGAATGTGGAGTTGTGGTTGCAACCATGCCCAGGGAATTGGAATTAAGAACATGCATGGCTGTCTTTATCCTTTTCCTGAGCCAACAAATTTGCAAGATCACACAATGAAACCCACGCTTTGTCGGACGATCGAGAGTTATTGATACTACGACTCGGCAAACACGCCAGTGTCACCTTGAAGACCATGTCGTTGGAAGCAGGCAGGCCGTCGATGAAGATGAAGTCCGGCCAGAAATGTCCGGCCCAGCCCAACCCAGTCCGACCCAACCCAACCCAGCCCGACCAAAGGATCCAAGGTTTACCTGTAACTACTTAGAGAAACTCCTAGTGTTGGACCAATGACTTCACCTGCACCGACATTTTACACTGGTTCAAACAAGCAAATCATACCAAGTGGACAAATCACAATCAACAGCTTTGGCAAGCAGTCATCCTTTCAGTCATACCAATAATAAATGGGTGCCCTTTGAGTGGGCTGGTCATTTCTGGGGATATCATCTTACAAGGTTTGAAGCACTTTGCATGCAGTTGGAACACACAAAACACATGGCACACTATTGAAAGCAACAATGGAGGAAAGCCAGCAGGCAGCAGCTGTATTCCAATTGAATTGTTACACTACCCCAAGTGTCACACTCTGTATTAGTGGCTTGATACCCACCATCTCAATTTTATCTATAATACTAATTAGGGATTTGTTTTGATTGTTTGGTTCACCAACACAAGCCAACAGCTCTTTTCCCAGCTTTGTAGAACGTTGATATCAAATCTCAAGACACTTGGACTTCCAACTTAATGGCTAGTTTATGAGAAAAATCAACTCCTACCACTTTAAGGATTTCTCTGGGCCTGCAAATCATACTACCCAAAATGAAACCCTTAGATTGAGACCAGGATAGAAAGACTGCTGGCACGTCCAATTGCAGCACTAAGTATACTCAACTGAGTTGAGGTATGGAATCAACAACTGAAAAGTACATCACAACCCGGGTGATTATTATTCATTGAAATACTGTTCTTGACAAGTTCTTGACAAACAAGGTTTATCAGATACTTTTATCTGAATGAAACCATTTTTTACATACTGACATATACAGACTGTTATGCAAAATGATGTTGATCAAAATCATGTAGAATTCCTACCTCTTCCCTGCTCCTACCTCTTCCCTGCTAATCGTCCCGTCTGAATATATATATATATGTGTTATTCCATGGTTCCTCTATAGGATATCTCTGATTCTTCCACGCCACGCAGGCTGAAAGCATCCCAACATGAGGTCTTGGCAAGCTACATGAGGCACCTTTGGTTTTACTGCTCCGGTGTGAGCAAATATTCCGTCTGAGGATTCTCACACATCCGCAACTGATTGCAACCGTGCACTGTTTTCTGCCCAACAACAAGCATCCATGTCCTTCCAACACTGACCAAACAGCAACCTAGACCATCAGTGCTCCACAAACTCGTCAGATCAAGAACAAACAAAAAGGACCTTCGGCATGCAGCAATTGCAAGAAAACAAGGATGAAAAGGTCTAAGTCACCAAAAGGATCTGAGAGAGGTCATGCACTCTCATGTGGAGGCCATGTGAGCACCGCCGTGATCTGAAGTTCACGGAGCCGAGCCAACGTGTTCAAGCACCGACCACTGGCCGCTCCCCATAGGACTGGCCAAAGAGGCTCTCTCTATATATATATATATTTTTTTTCTGCGGTTCTTTTCCAACTGCATGTGCTCAATCGGCCTTTTGCCGGAAGCAGATGGGTAGCTGCTTTTGCCCCTTCTGCTGTGAGCATGGGCCTTTCAAGGCCTTGCTTGTCCTGAATGGGTGGACCAGCGCATGTGCCTTGCAGGCTTGGCACCACAGCTTTCCACCTCTGCGCCACATCTGATGGCTTGGGTGTCCCTGCCAGCCTTCTGGACTCCACAGTTGGTTCCAACATGGCATGGTGGCCAACTCGAGCAGCTTCTCTCGCGAGGAGTTCTTGAGCAACTGGACATGGCATTTCACACAAGAAATGTAGTTCTTGGCTTCCTCAAACTCATGTGGTGCCATGTTTGGGATTTGGCCTCTGATCATCTCTTGCAACAATGCAGACTTGGTCTGACTGGCCGTGTCACCTCCAACAAGGGGTGGCTGTGGGTTGTCAGCACACTGTTCGGTCTTGCCAGCAAGGATGTCTTGGTATTTGCTGTGCATAGTGAGCCTCTTCTTGCAAGTGGCGCACTGGACACCTTTGCCCTTGGCAACCCATGTGTGTGATCCCTGGCCTGCGTTGTGGGTCAGGCTAGTGAGTGCATTCTGCTTGTTAGTTCGGGCCTCCACCCTT